CACTCTTCTCTTTGGCTTCCTGGGTTCCACCCCTTCCTCCAGTGGCAATTTTACAGCTGTGCAAATATAAGGAAGAGATCTGGTCTAACTATAGTGTGAAAAAAGACTTTGAACTAGTTTTACTGGTTAAGTCTTAACCTTCACTTCAACTTTGAGTACCGTCAAATCCTGGGCTTGGGGAAACAAACTGATTGCATCTTGGCTTCTCTCTACTGCTGGCTTAGGATTCAGCTCTCATGGGTGTGAAAATAGCACACTCATTGCCCTTCCATTTGCTTTCCACCTTTCAAAATTTTGTTATTTTCTTCTCTCTCTCTCTTTTTTTTTTTTTGTCCTAATGGGTTTTATGCCATTTTGAGGGTAAATGTCTGTATTTGATCTCCCATTTTTTAACAGAATTCTACTACATTTGTTTAAAGTTAGAATAGATCAATATTGTCCCCGAAAAAATTTTAACATTATGGGGATTACAGCCCATATCATGAAACAAAATGTGTATGAATCGTTGAATGGAAAACCATGTAGCCTTTCACTCAAATCACAATAAAAAGTTAAAAAACAAAATTTCCAGGAACTTATCCACAGTTTGTTTACATACTTACTAAGCACATTTTACACTAATGAATGTCCTTTTGATAATGGTTTGTATCAAGATATAAAACTCATAAAATTGCTGAAAGCTTATAAATATGATATGCTGTTTAATATCTTTGAAAGATAATGTCTTATGCTTTTTTTTTTTTTTTTAAAGTGGGGAAAGCAAGGACGAGTAATTTCCAGTTGCCACAACATGACACCTTTAATGATGAAGGTATTTCAGTAGTCAAATAACACAAAATAAAATTATGAGGTTCTGTTATACAGTTATATTATATGGTAAAGGGGCTTTGGAGGTGCTGTGGTTAAGGCATTGGGCTGGTAACCAAAAGGTAGGCAGTTTGAATCCACCAGCTGCTCCATGGGAGAAAGACAAGGCAATCTACTTCCATAAAGATTTACAGCCTTGGAAACCCAGTGGGGGTCGTTGTGAGTCAGAATCAATTCAGTGGCGGTGGTAGGTTGATTATATGGTAATAATATGGTCTCACATTTGATTAGCACTTGGTAGTTTACAAAATACTTCCACAGATGTTTTTTCATTAGATTCTTTGAAGCTCTGTGATGGGGTGGCTGGAGTTCAGTGGGGTGGGGGAAAGGGGTTGTGAAATTTTCCACATCTTACAAAAGAGAAAACAGACCTCAATCAGTTACAAACATTTTTCTAGATCAAACAGATAGTAAGAGATTGTGCCCAACATCACATTTGAGGCCAGTATTTTGTCTGTTTTTCCATCCTGCCTAACTTGGGGCTCAGGAATATGGCCTAGAATCACACGCATCATTCCCCCCCCAATGCCTATATATATGTATCAATTTTCAATTCTCAAAAAATACATATGATTAAGGGAAAATGGATGGTTTTCATTTTGACAGATTAATATGCTCCTAATAGCAAGAAGAAATTTGGATTCTTGATGTGAACAATTGAAATTACTGTTTTAATTCATACCAAGAAGTATGAAATGATTGAATTTATAAATTTTAAATTTTAAAGTAAATTTGAATGAATACTTTTTGTATTAGAAGTTCACACAGGTTAAAGGTTTTTTCCCCCTTTTAGCAAGTTTAGGACATTTTTTAGATTTCATTGAGCTAAACATCTGCTTATGTTTTGAAATGCAAATACCTGGCAACTTTGAATCCAGTTCTGCTTTCTTTTTAATGGGGAAACAATGTTTGCAAATAACATAATAGATTTCTTTCCTGAGAATGAGGAATTTCAGTGATAATGAGTAGTTGTTGTTCAGTGCCTTTGAGTTGTTCCCCACTCATAAGAACTCTATAGGACAGAGTGGTACTGCCCCATAGGGTTTGCAAGCCTTGTAATCTTTACAGAAGCAGACTGACTCATCTTTTTCCTTTAGAGCGGCTGATGGGTGTGAATTGCCAACCTTCCCTTTAGCAGCTGAGCACTTAACACACTGTGCCACTAGGGCTTCTTACAATGTAGTGTAGCATATAAAAATCAAACATTATTTCTATGTTCAGTGATACTGTTTTAGAAATGTAATAGAAGTACCATGTTAAAGATTATGTTCACTTATGGCAATTTTGTTTTTAAAACATTTAAGAAAACTTTATTCTCAGAAAACCTTTACTCTTTAAAGTAGGACAAGACAGTATGATGATAAGTCATTTCCAAAGAGTACTGAAATCATTAGCCATGAGTTTCAGGTAATGACATTGTGGGCTTTCCGGAAGGAAAAAAGTAGTCATTTAACATTAAAGTACTTGATTTTTGTGTGTGATAAACTTGGAAAACTACTGTAAACTATTCAGAAAATGTTACTATCTTACATACTAATAGATCTCTTTTTCCGTGAAAGACCCTATATTGATACTGCAACACTTGATGCTTTTAATTTTCTTTTAATGTTATAAGGTACAATATTTATATGATAGATATTTTTTGTACTAACTACAGTTTTGGAATTCTTTCATTGTAGATGACAGATTGTCTGAGATTTCTGCTCGCTCTGCAGCTTCTAGTCTCCGGGCTTTCCAAACACTGGCACGAGCTCAGAAAAGGAAGGAGAATTTCTGGGGCAAAACGTAATTAAATTATGTACCTAGACAAATTGCTTTTATTTAGGGAACTGTTGGCATAATTTTTCTTTATTGCTTAGTGTGTTAAGATTTTTCAATTGTTTGGAATTTTTTTAACATTGCCTACTTAAGAAGTAAACTGAAACTTGGTTCAGTTTACTTGGACATTTTTAACACAGGTTTATGCAATTTAACTTCTAAAGAATTCTTTTGACATTGATCCCAAATGTTCTACTTTGGTATTAGGTTTCAGGGATAGCTGCTAGGATTGAGAATTTCACCTATCCAAAGAATATTATAAAAGGATGAACAGAGTGAAATAAAAATTAAGATCCAAGTTTTAAGATGTGTTTCATTGAGATTGAATATATGTATCATCATAATTGTAGATGTCATAAACATGAATTTGTTGTTTCTTTAACTTTTACTGTAGTTTTTATTTTAGTATCCTCTGTGTGGGGTTACAGTGTTATTTAAGATAATTGTACTGAAAATACTAGCTGTAAATATTTTTATTTATGTAACACAGTTTGCTGAGAGAATATGTATATTTTTGATCCTTGTATGCATTCTATTTGTATAAGAACTTTGGCTTATTTGAATAATGTCTGAAGTTTGAAAAAATATTTGTATAATGGGATTAAAACTTTGTAGACATTTTGAAATAAAAATTGATCAAGCATGTTTGCCTTTTCCAGAAAGTTATTAAGTTGAGCAAATAGTTACCTTTTTGAAATAGTAATCTGTATTTATTTTGCAGCTGTCAGAATGCAAAGAAGCTGAGTCACATTTTTACATGAATACAGGACAAAGCTAGAATTTCCTAGACAGGTTATTTGTTTTTCTTTTAAGTTAACACATATTCTAACTCTTCACTGATAGGACATGCTATTGCAAATTACAATAACTATAACATTACAAAAATTATAGATTAAATAAAATATTGTTTACAATCTTTAAGATATAGGAGGTACTGAAGGTTAAATACACTGTTGGTTAGAAAACAAATGATTTGCCTGTTTAAAAGTGTTTAATTTGATCAAAATTATCTCTGTAAGCCATTGGTTTATAATAAATTATTAATGATTTTCAGTTCTGTGAAGTTGAAAGAACTGTGAACATATGAATATTTGCCTGTATTCCACTGATTTTTGAAAGTAGTTTATTCATAAAAAAATTACTGAAGATGTAAATGAAATAAATTATTTAGATATAACTGCAGTTTAGAACTCACATTTTCTTGGCTTCTAGGAAAATGGATACTGAGGCATATTAGTTGTAAAGTACTTTTGGAACTTACTGTCTCTCTAGAAGCTTAGAAGTATCATCTTCCTCAGAAGTTGGTTAGGACCGTGTGTTCAATGGCAGACTGCCGATATATGGTACAGAAAGTGGTGGAATTATAGCTGTCCTGCAGGGAATGATACATAACTCACTGTCCTACACTATAGACTATAAAATCTGAATACACTTCAGGGAGTAGGTCACACGACATGAACTGGATCTGTCAGGTATCTGGGTCCATTGTAGGGTCCTCATAGGGCCTCGGTTATAGCCCCAGTCTCTGCGTGACAATTTGACTCTGCAATGTATTACTGACTGACTCTCTTAAAAATCCCACTCAGTCATCTTATACAAGTGTGCCACAACTCAAAGGAGTGGTCTATAGGAGACAACAGTGCTGCTCTATCACTTGTACTAAAAAGAGCAGCTTGAACATGCGCTTGAGTTGGTAGGTGAGTAGTCTTAGTTACATGAGAAATGTTCCATGAGATTTGCTGGCATTTAGAAACTGGGATGGCTAATTCAGTATTTAAAATCAATTTTATTAAGGCATAATTTTATGTATAAAAAAACCCAACAAACTCACTGCAGTTGAATCGGATCTCATAGTGATCTCTCCTTGGGTTTCTGAGACGGTATCACTATGGAAGTAGGTTGCCCAATCTTCCTTCCAGGGAATGGTGGTGGGTTTGAACTGTGAGCCTTCTGGTTAGCAGTCAAATGTCTTAGGTACTATGCCACCAAAGCTCCTAATTTTACCCGTTAAAAAAATCACAACTACTTGCTAAGTTCAGATAGATAAATATACCTGTAAAATGACCACCATAAGAAAGATACAGAAGGTTTCTGTCATCCTGAAAGCTTCCTGTTTTCCTTTGCAGCCAATCCCTTTCTGTACCCCTGGTCCCCAAGGCAGCCACTAATTTTCTTTTTATCAGTATAGTTTTTAAGAATTTTATATAAATGGAGTCATCTTTTATGACTGGCTTCTTTTACTCGGGATAATGTTTTTGGAGTCATCCATGCTGTCAAGTTGATTCTGGCTCACAGCAACCCTATAGGACAAAGTAGAACCGCCCCACAGGGTTTCCAAGGCAGTAAATCTATGGGAGCAGTCTGCCACATCTTTCTCTTGAGGAGCAGCTGGTGGGTGTGGGTTCAAACTGCAGTCTTCCATTTAGCAGCTGAGTGCTTTAACCAGAGGTAATTACATTTTGTTTTCACCTTTAATTGAACTACTTTGGGTATACAGTCTGTACCCACATCAGTGCTATAAACTGGTGGCACTGTCTCTTTGTCTAATTGGAGGATCTCACCAGCCAGACTGGGGAGTGGACATCATTAGAATCACCATGGGAGGTTCTTCCAAAATGCATACAACTACTGCCTTTGTCCCTCCTTCCCCTCTTTATCCCAGAGGTTTAGGTTCTCATGTGTCCCTGGTTGAAGAGCTAAATGAAAATGTGCAAATATGTATGGGAGGCTTGCATGTAATATCTAATCTCAACATCAGCCTGAAATCCCAAGTCCAGAACCCTTGAAGGATGATTTTGAGGATTAAGAATAAAATGTTACCATGTGATTTAAGCATAAATACCCTCAACAAAGAATAAAATGTTACCATGTGATTTAAGGATAAATACCCTCATTTTATAGACGGGGAAAACAATTTAGAGTAAATGACTGGCCCAAACTAGTGGGCCATGTGACATCAGGCTATATGACCATGGTACCAGAACTAGATGGCACCTGGCTACCATTGTCAACCACTGGGAAAGGGATCAGTGTAGGAGATCCTGGACAGAGTTGGAGAACAATATGCAACAAAACTCAAAATCATATGAAAAAAAAGACCAGGCTTACTGGTCTGTTAGAGTCTGGTGAAACTTCTGAGACCATGGCCGAGACTAGTTAACCTTCAAGCCTGGAATTGAACTCCTGTGGCTTCCAGTCAAACAATAGGCATACAGGGTGAATATTTCTACCAGGTAGATACACTCCTTAGAACAATCAATCATGGGAAAACAGAAGGGCAGTATTTCACAGGGAAATAGTTCAGGGGGCAGGAATGCACAGGAAAGAAGGATACAGGGAAGAGGTAACTACAGGGAGGAAGTGAAAAGAGATGTTATGTTGTGGGGACTGCGGTCAATGTCATGAAACAAAATATGTATAAACTGTATGGAAAATGTATTTGCTCTGTAAACTTTCACCCAAATCATAATAAAAATTTAAATAAATAAATAAATGAAATCTCTGCCAGCTCAGCATAATCTAGGACTCATTCTGGGAAGCCTCTGAGCAAACCTCTTCTTTCTCCCTTGATTAAAGTTCCCTAACCTCTTGGGATGGAAGGAAGATGGGGCAATCTAGTGATACCGCCTTGGAAACCCAAGGAGGGGTCACTATGAGTCAATCCAACTCGGTGGCACATAACAACAACATCAGGAACCTCTTGGGAGCTCTGGTGGTGTAGTGCCTCAGGCATTTGACTGCTAACCAGAAGGCTGGCAGTTCAAAGCCACCAGCCACGGCTCTCGGAAGAATGGTTGGGCAATCTACTTCTGTAAGTGATACTGCCTCAGAAACCCAAGGAGGGGGCACTATGAGTTGGATCTGACTTGACAGCAGTGTGTTTGGTTTGAGTTTGAGAACCTCTTATTAGGAAAAAAAAAAAAAAAAATGACTGGCCCAAGAATTTGTAGGTAGTAAAGTTAATCTAGGTTTTCTTACTCAAAATCCACGTAGGCTGTCTTGTCTGGAGTGTTTAAAATTGTAAAAAGTCATACAATTTTTAAGTTTTACTGGGGTTCAGTTCTCTCTCTGATTGATTCATTTAGGAGTTAATTTTTCCACTTCACCTTTTTAGGAGATAAGTGAAACATCTACTTTTTTTCCTAGTCAGGAAAAAAAAAGTATGTGGGCATTAAATTATTATACAAGTGGATCTACCAGAATGAAAATGAGTTAACATTCAAAACAAGCTGTCCTTATATGGAGAGCAGTATGGCAGTTGGCTAACTAGGAATCTCAAAGATGGATTGTATCCCTTTGTTGGACATGCGCATAGTAGAAACCCATAAATACTTATGTTGACTTCTGGAAGTTTTCCAAAGGAACAAATAATCTAAAATGGTAGGTGATCCTAGAATCTTTTGTATTTGGTTTTACAATATGATTTTGGTACTTTCACAAATGATAGTGTTGGCCATATTAGCAGGCTCAGGGCTCAGTCTTCATCGAACTGCCATCTCTCAGGTTTGCAAGGTGAGTCAGCTGTACAGAGCCTACTCCAGGCAAAAGAATAGCCTCTGTCAGACTAACTAGTGTTGTTCCCACTGGGCCTGGCCATGTGGGAACTCTAAGAAGCCAGCTCGTGTCCCTCCTGCTCACTTTGTGGCCTCTTCAGCCCTGTTGTGGTAAACTTTCAGGTTGTGTTGACCCTGCACCCTTATCTGGCCACATGTATGTACCTTTTTCCTGTGGTGAGTAGAGGCACGGAAAAACCCAGGCCTTGACTTTCAGGCTCAGAGTGGAGATTCTTTAAAGTTCTCCTTTCATGTTTTATTCCCGCTCTGGTCACATAGGAGATCTGTCAGGGCGGCAGCCTCTCCCAAGCAGAGGGCAGCTCCCTCCTTGTCCTGCCTTTACCATATAGCAGATCAGAGGTGCACAGCACTCATCCTAATATGGCACCCACTTCTCTCCCACTGAGGGCTCTTCCCA